AGGCATGACTTTAAGCAATCTTCAGCTCAGCCCCGGTTGTCATCGCAGTTCCTAGTTCTCTATTAATTTGCTTACATGCTAGACGCTGAAGTTGCCTGTCAAGCTATTAGAACACCTGGGTTACCAGTGCTGTTCTTCGGACAGGCTGTGAAAGGGTTTGCTACCCTTGCCAGTACGAGTCTTGCCGTGTAAGGTCTGGGATGTGAACTCCGAAGGAGAAGAGAATGCTGTTCAAAAATAACAGATCATGAAATTAAAAGCAGCAGGCAGCCTTTCAAACCTTCATTGTACAGACCACCACTAATGAAACATTCAGAGGCAGATTTGGCTTCATGACAGCACTGGAGCTTCCTTCTCCCAGGTAGTAACCGAGCCAAAACATTTAATATCTGTGCGTAAAGCTGCTACCGATTGAAGTAGTATTTGTTTAGATAAAGAAAATTGGAATTTGTTACCCAGTCAGAAATCCGCTAGCAAAACAGGCATTACTAAAAGTACTGTGTTATCGAAGGAAAAACCGCCGGTGAGTAGCAAAGGGAGGGTCGTTTTCAAGGTAGCCTGCCTTTCATTTTTTTGTTTCCAGTCTCCAGCGGCGGGGGCCGTGCTGCTCTGCTTGTCACGCTCGCACAGCCCGGCTAAGGAGCCCACGATGGCAGCTCTGGCTTTCATGGATTCCAACCTCAGCGAGTGTTTAATCATGCCTCAAACAGATTGGCTTTTCGGAGGAAAAGTGGTGTTTCTGTTCTGGTATCGCTGTCCAGCTTAATGTAATGAGTGATGGAAACACTGTGCCTGAGACACATCCATCTGCTTCCCTCCAGACCATTTTCTCTCTGGCTTTTCCTGCAGTCTTAAGTTATCAACCCAGAACACTCGCCGGCGCTGGGAACTTACCGCTGCCTCGCCGTACGTGCTGGCATCTCTGCTTCGGCGGAAAGCGTGTTTCAGCTCCTGTTTTTGAGCCGACTTGAAATGGGAAAGGTGGCATTAAGGGGTGAGCTTAAGGGTCTCATCCAATTTAAAAAGCTTGTATTTGCGTGACAAGTTGTAAAAATGTCACCGTGGATTGAGAGTCAGTGTCCTAGGGACCTGGCAGAGGTGGTGGCCTGCTGGGACTTGTCTGTAGGTTTATCCCCTATTATGTTATGTTATATTATATTATATTTATATTGAGCCACCTTGTTGGTGATGGGGAGGCCGTATGGTTCTGAGACCTTGCCCTTGCATTTGAGACAGCGGAGAAAAGCTTTGGGATTAGTTCCAGTTTTTTCAGAGGAATTCTTCCCAAGATGCCGGGTGGGAAGTAACGTACTTGAAGCAGTTTGTGCCTTTGCCGTCTCTGCCGATGACACGCGACATTACGTGTGACGTCAGGCAGAAGCGCGGGCTGCAGCTTCTCCCAGCTAATCCCCACCGCTGCGGAAGGTGGGTGCTCGTGCTGGTGTTCAGTTGGTCTGGACTCCACCCAGGGCAAGCTGAAGTGTAACGAACGCTCTAATTAGCTTGCTCCAATTGCACTGTGCTAAGCTCAGCCTTAACATCTAGCCGCAGCTAATTAAAAGACGGGGTTGCTGAGGTTTTATTAGTACGGTGTGTTTGCCACTAGATGAAACGATGGGAGGAAGGCGGATGGCTTGTGTAAATTGTCAGGGGTAGGCGATTACCTGCACGCCGTGAACAGCCCCATCTGGAGATCACTTGCCATCCCGGGTGAGCCAGGGGAGAGCCAAGCCAGGGAGCAGAAGAGTTTTTATCATTATCAGGCTGCTGAGCCAGCCTGTCCCTTGAATTTCTTAACGCTTTTAAGAAGACAAATCTCTGAGCACATGATTCATTTGGCAAAAGCGCTCAGCCAACTTCCCAGAGGGGAACTAAAATAATTTCCACATACAAGTAAAGCAAATAGCCTGTGTCTTGTTCATCCTACCAAGTCTTATTGACTAGTGCTGAGTAAGAGATCTTTGCGGCGCGTTGATGAGGAGGTTGGCAACTCATTCCACTTGGTCTGGGTTATTGCAGCACGGTTGTATAATACTGAATTGCGAGGCTTTTAGTAATCTTCAAGGCTGTTCAACCTGAGCCACTATGCCTAAACTGAAATGTTTAAAAACTGCGGTTCATGCTCTTAAATACCTGCCTAGGTGTACTCTTAAGAACCAGAGACAATTTCAATGTACGTTAGATTCTTCCTGTTAATGTGCAGAACAGACATTACCTCCTAAGATCCAGCTGAAATGTTCCACTGTGGTGGTATTTGAGACCAGTTATATTTGGCTCATCTTTGTTCCATATCCAGTTTTACAGCTACCAGATGACACCCTAATGAAACATCAAAGAAACCATGAACTTAAGTGCTCGCTGAAGGACGTATCTGGTGAGCTACAGAGCTCCCACTCTGCAGAGGAAGGAATTCCGACCACGGGGCTGAAGTGGCTTTCATCTTTTGGACATCGCAGCAGCAGTGCTGTACAAATCCTAACTTTCATTTAAAACAAACCAACCAAACAAAACCCAAACAAAAAAAAAAAGGCAAAAACCTGTTTATCAGTGTTTTTTTCCAAGACTGTTTCTTGAGCCCTTTTGCTGTTTACTAAATAGTAAGCCTGGGAAAAGAGGTGAATAAAATGCAAAATCACTTCTAAGGATTTTTTTGGAAAGGAGAATGGAAGTTTTTCAGGAGCTACTAAGCATCTAAATATTAGCAACACATTTCTGGTTTTGCAGGAGAAGCTAGCTGGATGGAATGAACACACTTTCATCCATGGCTGGGATGAAGCCTGAAGTCACCGTTCATGCAGGGGTGTTTCTTGTTCAGTCGTGACAAAATTAATCCAATCTGGATGCTGAATCTAGATCTATAAATATATTTATTATAATATAACAAGAACTTAACAGTAAACATAAACTATATACAATACCATTACAGATAACCCTGTTTTTAATATTATTCACAGAAATAGCCAGTTTTGTTCCAGTGTGAGAAATGAAGAAATAAGCTAAATTGGAAATGTTGAATGTGTTTAGGTCTTGCTGACAGGTAGCACCTCCTTTGGAGGTAGACACACACCAACACTAAAATTAGTCCTGCCCCAGGCAGTTAGAAACTTGTGCTCCAATCTTTAGGTTCACACTTGCACCCTGTTTGACATAAATACTTTAAATGACATACTAGTATATAATTTTGTTGTGCTTATTATTTTTTTTTTCTTCAAAGAATAAATAAAACAACTGCATAACAAAGGCTGGAACCTCACTGTCAAAATGAGAGACTTGAGTCACCCTATAGCTTGACTCTGCTGACTTGAGCACTTTAAATACTGCAAGATACAAATTTCATATTTTTTTCTTTTATTTTATAAACAGTTATTAATAAAATAAGATGATTAGCTAACCATCTGCATTGATTTCCCCAAAGCTGTAGGCAGACCTCCCTCCATATAAAAAGGCTAGCGTATTTGGTATGAAATCCAACGAGATATTGACTGTAAGATCTCGCCCGCGCCCTGTGTAGGACCCTCCTTCTTGAATTACCGGCATGGCATTTGGGATTTGAGTCTGCAAAGGCAAGTATGGCAACTTTTTTCCCTCTACTTGGAAAGAAATCGGACAATCCTCAGCTTGGGGTTACTTCCTATTTGTGAATTTTAAGATTCTTTCCCCTGCCCCCTCTATGTTACCCGGTCCATCTCCCATTTGATCCTTTTATGTATAAATTTATAAAGAATTTCCACATCACAATGCTCTCTGGATAGACAATATTTTAATATATATAAAAATATAACCCCTGTGCTGTGCATATACTTACAACTCTACATAGTAATCATTTTAAGTCTCTTATACTGGGCTTAAGTCTACGTATTTTTCTACCATGGGATTTAAACTCGTGTGTTTAGTATCTGTAAATAAGAGAAGTATAAGGTTCTATGGGGAAACTTGAAAAATAAAATAAAAAACTTCTCAGACTTTACATAAAGGATAGTGGCGTATATCCCAACATAAGGAATTTTGGTTGAGAGCCAAAACTGAGCGCGTAGCCCCAGCAGGAGGCATCTTCTCCGTTTGATGAAAACGTGGAAATCCCACGCTACGCTGTGTGTTTTAATGTGATCCCAAACAGAAGTGAAGAGTGGGTTTACCAGGAGAATGCCTCTGGAATCTAAACCGTTTTCATTTTCCATTATGGGAATCGAGCACTGCCAAGTTCGCTCATCAGCAGAAACCGGGAGGAACAGGTTTAGAAGCCCCACCACCACCGGTGGGCATGGCCACACGTGCCCACACAAGTATCACCAGGAGCAGAAACTCATCCAGCCCAACAGACCTTTTTTTTTTTTTTCATCATTTTACATGGAATTTATTACCAATGGCTCTTATTCTTCTCCCCAGTCCCCACCTCAACCCCCCTTCTGGGCTCTGCTCTAGAGAACCGAAAGATTTGTCTGATCTGATGGAAGACTGACATCAACGTAAGCCATCTGTCACACAAGATTTCTCTCAGTCATTGGTATTGAAAAGCATGTATTTGTTAAAAACAAATGTAGGAATCAAAGTGGTAAGGACACTTTGACCTTTCAAATAGATTGATGCCTAAAGTGTAATAGTAAAACTAATCTGCACGGTTATTTTAAGAATCAAGCTTGAGCTCTAAAGTAAAATGCAGATTTTTTTTTTTTTTTCCTCTCTTCCCCAGCTTAAAAAATATGTGAAATTCTATTGCACCTGGGTTGACCAAAAGCCGACGTCCAGAACAAGTGCCACTATAACATCTAGTGACACCCTCGTATTATTAAGTTACAATATCTTACATAGCACGGAGCTCTCTGCTCCTTGTTCACCAAAAGGTGAGGATGATTTTTCTACATTCAATGTAGACACTATTCAAGACTTTAGAGCAATATGTTCACTGGCTGGCTTTGCTGCTTTTGTTTTTTAAGTAGTAGTATTCTTCTTGCCTGCTTTCAACAGGTACAAACAGTTCTCCGTCCAACTCCTGCGTCACATCAGCCGCTCTGAATGTACTTCTTGATTACTACGCAGCCGTGTCGAAAAACAGGGCAGGGCATATTTGGTAGAAGTGTCCACGTATTTGTTTTAGGGTCGTAGGCTTCCATGTTTCCTAGGGCAGGTCCTTCGCTGCTAACGATCCCACCAGTGGCATATATTTTTCCATCCAGAACCACAGCGCTGTATTTTATTTAAAAAAAAAAAAAAAAAAAAAAAAAAAAAAGTTAGTTTTCTTACCCAACAATTTTCTTTTGTAACAAGGAGTAAACCACGAATACATCTTTTATTCTTATCTATATAAAGCTGTGTGGGCATTTCTCTTCCCTCTCCCTTTCTCTCCCCCAAATTAATCCTATTTGTGTTCCTGCCAGGTGGGTAAACGTTGTCTCTAATTTAAACAACAGAAATTAGTCCAAGTAAGGTGTCTCTCCAGCCCACGTATGGGATCTGCAGCAAACGCAGCAGGATGGCGCGTCCCTGTAACACCATGCACATGCAAAAGCAACCCAAGCAATTTGGGGTCCCTGCCGCCTCAGTTAGAATAGACCCTTGTTTCGGGTTACTCCTCTAATTATCAATGAATGCTGCAGAGGGGGGGGGGAAAAACCTCAAAAAAAAAAAAAAAAAAAAAAAAAAATGCTCTGCTGCTTCAGCCCCTTCCATGCTCGTGATCTGGTGTGGGAGCCTGGAGGTCCTGCTGACCCAGGAGGGCTGGTGTCAAGCAGAAAGCCAACCCGGGGCACACGAATCTGATGGTTGGGGATGCACAGCTGAGGGATTGGCAGGGGAGCTACATGCTGGCCTCTGAAGAAGACAAAAAAAACCCTTACTGCTTTTTAAAAACAAACGTGTTCGACTTCAGACATCTAGGGGTCCCTTCCAACCCAAAACATTCTATGATTCTATGATCTCCTGCAAATCAAAGATAATGAGGCTGGGCTGATCCTGTGGTCCGTAGGCTCTTGATAGGAGGGATGGCACATTGGTGTGAGAGGTATTTGAAAGAAAAATTGCCCTTCGGCCTCATCTCTTCCTCCTCCCTCCTTCCACTTAACCCCTTGGCCTCTCCAGCAGTTGTGCACAGGGCATGACTCTCGTGTTGGGCTAATGAAGATGGACAACGAGGGGCTGGGCTCCCATGTGTGTGTATTTGGAAAGGGCAAAAGGACGACAGAAGGAGCAGGCAGCTGGGTGGGGAAAGCCTATGTGGGGCTGCTGTGTTCTCCACACTGCCTTCCCGCTGAGTGCGGGGAGCCCAAGGGTGGGGGCAGCTCTGCTTTTTATCTGCTGGGAAGTCTGGGTTTGCCCCCTAACATTTAAAGATATTGTTAAGGCGGATGGGGCTGGCAGTGCTTTTTCTGGTGGCTGGGTCCCTTCCAAGAGCAGCCGGTGGATGGTTGTGTTGGGAAGGAAAAGGGAGACTGGGAGAGGGTGTGCACGCTGGAGGAGAGCAGGGAGAAAAAGAGGGAGGGGAAGATGAGAAATTAATTGCAGCCAAGAAGGTGGCCTATATCTAAGAAGCTGGAGAGGGGTAGTAACCCCGTAGGCTTGGTAAAGGCAAAGTTATTGCTTTAGCTAATTTTGGAGCAGCGGGAAGAGGATGAAAAGTGATAAAGGCAAAAGAGAGAGAGGGCTGGAAGGACCAGGATGAACCGAGACTAAAATGGCACTGACAAAACCACGTGTTTCTGAAGAACACAAAACTCTGATGTCCTTGTGGAGAAGTAGAGCCTGAGGTTAAAAATAAACCCACAATGACAACAGTGAGGACTCAAATAAGCCTAGTCCCTGGGTACCGCCAGAAAATAGGAAATAATGAGAATCTTGTCAAAATAACTGTTAATCTGAAAGGAGGAAGGAGAGAGAGACTTGAAACACTTGATTAGAGCCTATCCACAAATCAGCAGGGCTGGATGATACATAGCCCAGGGTCCTAAGGGAGTTTGCTAATGAACTTACTGAACCACTGGTAATTATTTCTGAAACGTCAGGGAGAAATGGGGAAGAACAAGGACTTGAGTAAAGCAAGTGTCATCCTGAAAGACTGCTCTGAAAGAGGAGCCCACCTCTGAAGGGTGAGCTTGGGTCCCTATGGCCAGGAGGGAGTGGAGGCAGCAGGACCAGCTGACCCAGTAAATCAGACAAACACTCAGATTAAACCACGCTTTAGGACTAAGATATTTGTTGGGGGATGGGAAGCCCACCTCTGTATTGGAGCAAGTTCCTATTTAAAAGCAAGGCAGGCTGGGAATTACGGCTTGCAGAACATGGCATGGGGAGGGGGGGAGGATGGTCTTGCCACATGCTGAAATAGTCACAATGTGGCAAGAGTTTAGAAATGAGGCCATGGGGTAGTGGTTGCTGTTTGTGTTTCATTCTGGTTTATTAATTGTGAAGCTGAAGGAGATGGAAGCTTATCTGAATTGGGATATGCTTTGGGATGTGCCAGATGGAAGAGGGTCCAATCTCAGAGATGGACTGCGGTACAGAGTAGCTTTCCTGCTTTGTTTCACTAATGAAATGCTCATCAGTCATTAAAAAAGTACCCCTACATGAAATTTGTGGGGTGGGGGGAGGGGCAGCAAATGGATTAATTTAGCAATTTTCTTGGTTGAAGCGAGAAAAACTGAACAAACTCCCAAACAAAGAAGAAAAGATCCCCAAGAAAGATCTGGCTGCAGAGCTATCAATAACAGGTAATTAAAAGAAATGCTGCTGTGGAGCACGGAGCCTGGGGCTTGTTCCATTAGCACTGATGATCAAGGTCCACTGCCCATGAATGGCCTCAGCTAAGTTTTAATCTACTGGTGTGGGCATGCTGGTGTAGATGACAGCACCTCGCACCAGCACAGGAGACGAGGGCCCTAGTGGCTATCTCCACTTATGTACGGTGCCTGCCTAATGCTTCTGCTTGTCACCCGTGAGGCTGCTCTGCACGGCGCTTTTGATCTGGACGGGAAGAAGGGGATGGCCAGAGGGAGGGCTCTGCGTGGAGACCTTTCTATCTATGCTGTAGGTGACCCTGGGAACAGGATCCAAGCAACCACCAGCCCTTCCAAGCTGGCTGTGCGTTGCATAGCTGAGGTCTGACTGTAAGTGCCCAGTATCCCCTTGGGCATCTAGTGCTAGGTCGCTAAACGGGGATGCAGGCGCTTTACAAATTCCTGTGTAGCATCTCAGCTGCCCACATTTCTTCTAGCAGAGTCTCCTCTGTAGCCTGGTTAGTAGCAGCTACTCTAAGCCAGAGCTGCTGCCACGGTCTGAGCAGCCAACCTCACCTTCCTGGGCCCAGGTTCCTCCCCACCCAAGCTCTGGATTAGGGGTTGCCGTGGGTGGCCAAATGTTGCTCTTGTTCTTCAGCACCTGGGATACAGCACTGGAAGAAATTCACGGCTGGCAGCTGAGACAAGCAGCTCAATACCTTAGCCTCCCATCATGATGTTGGGGAAAACCAATGCTGAATTCCACCCTCTGAAAGACTGTAGGACTTCTAAATGGTGATTAGCTTCTGCCTCCTCCATATGCAATTCCCATAGATAAGATTGGCCCAATGCTTGGCTTCTGAGTTGTGCCCAAGGTTAAGAAAAAGTGAGCTACTCCTGCTACCAAGAAATAGGCAGTTCTAAGTACGCAGCGGGTTCTTAACGCGTGCAGGGGACTTGGGAGATGTTCAGGCATCTCCGGGACTGAAGTGGGAGGCGGGTACTTAAGATCAATTAGGAATTTAGTCCTACATTGCTGCTACTTTGCTGTATTAGGACAATCATTGCTAATTTCTGGGACCTTAGGGAATAGGAAACTCAAGAGGGCTCTAAAACCTTGAGGAAAGTGAGTGGAAAGGAGTGTGCTCATTGCTCTCTCTTCATTGCTGTGATGGTATTTCTTTTCTCCCCTCCCTTCCATCCCATCAGCTGTAAAAACATCGTTACCAAGGCTGACGTACAAAGAAAGAAATAATTACAATAATTAGGATGCGAGTTTATTGCTCGGTGCCATTAATCCTGAGAGAGAAAATGATTACAGGCTGTCAGAGCCTGGGAAGGAAGGAAGCTCCGCGCCGCAGAGCCTTGCTGTGGGGACACAAAACCTCCGGCAGCTTCGGGGGCAGCGACCTCCCCAGCTAAGGAGCAGCTGGAGCCTGTCTCTCCAGCAGCACCCCCGGGGTGAAGGTAAGCAGAGTCAAAATGGAGGTCACTTCATCCACTCCTTCCAGGAAAATGCTTTTCAGCATTTTGCAAATTATTAACCAGTAGGCTAACGACCCTGCTTTCTACTCCCTGGGTAATTACTGTGGTTTACTAGAGCGGCTTCACCTCTAGCCCCGCAGCCAAGTCACCCGAGGTGCCCAGGCATCCTTCTCTGCCCAAACCATGAGTGGTGTCAGAGGATCATGCCGTGACCATCCCCCTGACACTGCCACCGCTGGTCTGGTCCATCTGCTGCCCTCCACGAGCCCATGAATCATGCTCCTAAGAAAATCCCAGCGAGGCTGAGGGGCACCAAGGGCTGCCTGGGGACCTGGCTGTCCATGGCGGGGGTGCCTGTGTAATCTGAACGCCCTTTAAATCTCTTCTCTGCTTATCCATCTTGCAGCCCTTCCTCAGCTTGAGCAAACAGGTGGGTGAGAAGATCCCTCTCTGACAGCTGGCCCTTGATGGACTTGATGGACAAAGTGAATCACTGAATCATAAAATCATAGAACAGACCAGGTTGGAAGGACCTCAAAACATCGTCTGGTCCAACCTTTTATGGGGAAGGGACACTAGATGAGATTATCTATCCCATCTAATTGCATCTTGAAAACCTCCAGTGAGAGGGACTCCAGCACGTCCCTGGGGAGCTTGTTCCAGTGAATGATTGTTCTCACTGTAAAAAATTCCTGTATTGAGATGAAACCTCTCTTGGTGCAGCTTGTACCCATTGCCCCTTGTCTTCTCCATGTGGCTGCTTGTGAAGAGAGAGCCTTCGTGCTCCTTGTAGTCACCCTTTAGGTGCTGGAATACTGTGTGAGGTCCCCCCTGAGCTTTCTCTTCTCTGGGGAGAAAAGACCTAGCTCCTTCAGTCCTTCCTCTCAGGGCAGGTTCTCCAGCCCTTTGATCATCTTTGTGGCCCTCCTTTGGACCCTCTCGGGTCTGTCCATGTCTTTTTTGAGTTGTGAGAACCAGAAGTGGACACAGTAC